CCAAGCGGCTACGACGCTTAAGCACTGCCTGCCGAATCGACCGAATATCCCTGTGATATCATACACCGATTAAGTTCAAGCTTTACTGCACAATGTACGAACGGACATTTGTCGTCGTCTTGTCAACAAATGTTAAGAAAAACAATGTTCGTTACGCTAATCAGCCACGTTATTGAACATCCAACATGTACATTCAATGCAACATATCCTATATGTGACAACAATGTTGATATTGGTCTGGTCTATCGTTGCATGAACGATAAACTACTGTTAGTGCCTAATCCGCATCTACCATAACGGTAGAAGGAATCACCGTCAAAAGAACAGAGTCGCAGATTAGAAGGAAGTACATTGAAGCAATTTACTTTAGACAATGTGATAGATAAGAAGATCAGCTGTCATGCATAAATCTTCTTACAACAAGGCGACGATAGCATAGGACGGGACAAAAACTTTCTCCTGTGAATCTACATATAACAGATACTCTGCTATAACTCGTAACAGAACGATATGGACAGGAGAGAAGCAACAGGGATTCGACAGCACGCGAGAGCCGGTAACCTTCGTCTTCAGTGACATTGAGTGGTCTTTCCATATCCAATACAGCCTCGTAAAGTTTGTCGCTGCAAGTCGAATGCGCAAGCTAATGTTTGAGTCAGGGCTGCCATTATTTGCGATAATTCATCCAATGTACTTGAACCATCAACCGGTCAACGTCCTCAGTCGAGAGTAATAACTAACGAATTTATCAGAGAACAGTGAATCTAATCCACCACCGACATTCCTCGCAATAAATCTGGCAATATATTGCAGATACAGAGAATTTTACAAAATTAATAGCGTAAAGACTTGATCTAGCCTCTCCGGCCTCTGAAATGCCAAGTCAAGAGGTGATGAGCATAAGCCCTCTTGACTCAGCTGCTAGACGAAGGACATAAGCACAACGGAAATACGAAACATCAGAAGATCGCAACAGAACCCTAGGTCAAAACGAAACGCCAGAGACAAATAATTAACAGCATTATTGAAAACAAAAACGTAAATCTACCCACATGCAAGTAGCTCATTATAAGAAGTTCACACGCATTTCCCATGATCTATAGCCTTCTGATTTTCTGCCTCAAGATTTTGGCTAAGCTGACATCGGATCTCGAAGGATGACAAGATACAGTTGCTCTTGAATCAATATTAGCATTCACAGGCAAGAGCAAAGTTGACATCTCTGTAAATCCGAGAGAAAAGCGGCCGGTCACTGAAGGAGGCTCCACCCAGTCTGGATCTCGATTTCTAGCTTCAGCAGGAATGTCGAAAAACCCATGTTTACGCTATGTGCAAATCGCCCGAAACTTTCTTCAGCACAACGGTGAGAAAAACACTTTCAGCAATGACTCACGCTTCACTAACCAACAATTAAGAAATCAGGCACCGCTTAGTGAAAGAACGCTTGGCTGCGATAGATTACCTCTTTATACTCAGTTCAACGTAAGGCTGAAGATAATCTACTATAGGATACGTGCGATCAGGTTGCGAAACGACAAAAGGTAAATATCGCTTAAAGTGCCACAGCTGAATTCCGGTTTATCTGGTACGGATTCGACGAACTACTTTAAATTAGTAGTAATTGGCTAAAGACGTTGTCGAGGACCTGCAAAAAACCTGATGCTCCATAACCTGCGCATCACTTTAAAAAAACAGACTCGTACAAATCTAGGCCAAGAATTTTGTTTTCAACGATTCATTACGAGCAGCAGTTCAACCACTGCTTTAAATTTACAAATTATAAGATATCCCACGGGTCACTTTGACCGACCGATAATTGGCGACGAATCAAGCAGACCATATCACGTGCGCCATTCCTCACGGTCAGTTTAAAAACTTCTTTATCCAAGCGCGACCATCTCTGTTCCTGATGTAAACTTCAAGCCGTCTTAACGATCAGCCAAGTGGCGTAGTCCATCCGCGAGGGTACGAGTCAATGGCCATCCGATCATCTCCAGACGGTAAGCCGAGCAAACTCTACCGGCTTACCTTAGGCTCATCTTCCTGCTTTCGACGACTATGACCTACACTCTCGTCCGCTGTCTGACCATCGTATTGGGGAGGTAGCTGTGAGGTGATATTTCCAACAAACTACTTGCCTCGGTTCTCTCGCTAACAGATAGCTGGTGCTCTTCGGCTTTCGTGAGTGTCCAAGCCTCACAGCCATACGACACCGGCAGGACGGTAGAACTGATCAGACGGAAGGGGCTTTGAAGCTAGGCAACCTCAGGATACATGTGTATATACTGATTCTTCGTAATAAACGGGCATCACTACTGCCTAACCTCGATACTCACGTTCATTTGTTTCGAGCGATTTTTAGCCACAGTCTTCGATATCTCTCCTTTAACTCATCATCCCATCCGTACCGAAACTTCTACTTGGATGCTTGCAGTTCCTTGAGTACCAAGCCATCATTATCAAAGTCCATCGGGTATTCAACAGTCGGCGTAGTCCGCTGTAGTTCCCCCGCGCCGCATGCAGGAGCTCTGTGGACCATTTTTCTGTATGTGCTTTGCTTGTTTCATCTTTAGAAATGGTTTTCGGTTTTTGTTACTGTCCACACCTGCTAGGCGTCTTGGACAGAAAGTCCGGTTGACGTTCATTCCAGCATCTGAAAAAGATTTTAGATAACGGTTGTGAACCTTGGCTCGTCCAGAGATTTCCCTGATAAACTCCAGAACAGGCATCACTATATATTCTTTATATGTGCACCCTGACATCACTCACCAAATTTTACCCAGATCTTCTGATCTAGCTTACGAAACACCATACTCAGCTAGCAGAAGGAGTGATGTTTTCTCAGCGACTGATATATACGACGCTTTCCAGTTTTACATCTGGCTTTGAGGAATAGCTACTTCAGGAAGCAAAAACATCTGCACAGAATACAGTTTTCCTTCAATATATCCAAGCCAATGAATCAGTAAAAGGCCACAAACAGACACTGATATGATTCACATGGGACTCGGTCTAAGAGTCGAGAGGTGATGAGCCAAAAGCCGAAAGATCGAGAACATTAATTTACAAATTTGATTGTTTTTCAGTGCTTGTCATTAATTTTGGCTACGACTTCAGCTGCTTCAAGAGACTTTCTCGATAATATCAGTCCCCTGCCATTCAAAATAACTCCATTATATGGATTCCACTTCACGATAATGCCAGGTAATTCAGCAAATCAATCACCTGGTCCTCGAGGTCTATCCCTAAACCGTCCGCCTTGTGACTTTGTCACGGGAGCCCTTTTGGCGTCTGTCCGAGTTGATCAACGAAGCAGTATTAACCACGCTGGTACAGCACTCATGTCTGGGACTAACGTAACGGTGGGTCGTCAAAGCGGGAGCGGCTTTCCATGACACGTGGCAGTACTCTACAATAAGTTATGCCTTACAACCGCAATGAAGCATGAATCCCGTTATACGCTGGCCGGAATGCTGTCAATCATCGAACGATAAATTAACCGCAGTCGGAAATCACAACCTTTAGTCAGTCATAACCTGTTGCTAACGAAGTTGTCATCGAAATTAAAGTAAAGTAAAAATTTGAAAGTAATGGTAGTAATGAAATGTAGTAACAGAGTAGTAGTCGTAGTAGAAAACGTAGTCGAAATACGGTAGCAAACTATTTTACAAATTGTAATGAAACAGCATTGTAACGCTGTGACACTGTTTTTCTGGAATAATATCATATACATCATAAGTAAAAATCTATCTAAATATGTGAAATTTACTTAATTATTAATTCATACAAATATAATTTAACTTAGATAAAACCTATGAAATTACATACGCGGTTCCATTATGAACAACGTGAGAAGAACTTTGTTAATACAGTTAGTAAACTGCTATTAATTATTCGGATTCGCACGACGCAGTCATGCGGTCCGCCTGATTCTAATAGCCTAAGGGACTGTTTCAGCAGGACACAGCTCCACGATAACCTGCACTGCACGGACGCAAAACCGAACCGTTCTCCTGGGTCGAACTATATGACCTGTCAGAACACCAACCGACACACTTCATCCGTAAGCATATATAAAATTTAATCCCGATATTATGGGTT